CTCAGCCCTGGGATCTGCAGCTGCCGGCGTGGAATCACACTCCGACAGCGAGGACACGGCCGGTGCGGACGAGGGCGTTTCGGAGGGGGACGGTGCGGAGGCCGCCGCTCCCTTGGACTTCGCTCGATCCGGGCGCAACTCCGCAAAGAGCGCCTACCTGGCCAAGGTGCTCGGCCCCACTCTCGGATACGGGGCCGACTATGAGCTGTTCCAATTCGTCTATGACTTGTGGCTGTGGAGCGCGCTCGGGGCCAAGAAAAACACGGTGGACGCCCCCTTACGCGTGGCGATGGCCGGGTATTCCTTTTCCCCGGAATATTGGCAAACTCGCCACGCCGGACTGATCGACGTCGTCAAGCAACTCGGCCTGCCGACCGTCTTCCTCACCATTGCTCCATATGAGTGGAGTTTTCCTTTTCACTCGTGGGTCGAGGACGAGATGGCCAAGCTGCTGCGGGCACGCCTCCGCTTGCCGGCTGCCGAGACGCTCCACATTGCCCACGTCTTGGCCCAGGCAGCTCAGGGCCTCCTGACGGGCGCCAACAGCAGGCGCACAGCGCAGGGCCGAGCCGACAGAGCTCCGTGGCGTAGCCACGTCTTCGCCGCCAAGGACGGCAGCGGCCGCCGAACCGTCGTGAACTTCTTCGGCCGCCTCGAGTACCAGGACGGGAAGCGACGCCGCTACGTCAATGCCCGGGAGGCCGCCGCACAGTTCTACCATGGCCGCGGCACCGTCCACCTGCACCTGTTGGTCTGGCTGCAGCACGTCGAGGCGGTGCGCTTGGAGGACAGTCTCTCAGCTACGGTCCCGGCGGACAACCCTGCCATGGCTTCCCTCATCGAGGGCTCGCAGCGCTCCTGGACTGGCAGCGGGTGGCCAGAGGAACCCGGTCCCTCCCGCTACGATGCTTCCGCCCAGGTGCTCCGCCTGCACCACTCGGCCTCAGATTTCTGTCGCTTCGATGCGGCCGGCAATCCTGAGGGTGTGCGCGGCTACGTCAAGGATCTTCTGGCCAGTTTGCAGTGCCACGTGGATGTGCAGATGACGGACGGCCGTGGCATGCTGCTCAAGTACGTTTCGGGCTACGTGCCGAAGTTCTCTGACAGCTTCACGACCGAGTGGCTGGCCGACGCATGCAGTGACTATGCCGTCGCGCGCAGGGTCCTCACGGACTATCACCCTCTGGAACCGGAGATGATCTTGCAGTTGGCCATGCAATGGTTTCCCCAGTGCTTTGCGGGGAGTACCTTGCAGCGCTTCCGGGTGCCCGTGCCCTGGGAAGCCGAGCTCCCGGAGCGAGTGGAGCAGTACATGGCCAGCCGGTGGCGCGCGGCCGACATGCCGTTGGCGGACTACCTTCGACGAACCAATGTGTCCGGAGGCATCCACAGAGCCTTCCAACGTCGACACAAGCAGGCCGTGGCCCAGACTCTGGCGGTCGAGGGCGCGGACGCAGCGGAGGCCATGGAGTCCTTGGAGGCCTGGGTCAACGGCGCCCCCCTGCAAGGGGACGTGGCGGTGGCGGCCATCTATCTGTCTCGCTACAACGACCGCTACTACGGGCAGTGGGTGCTCATGAACGTGCCCTTCCGTTCTTTGCGCGAGCTGGAACGCCGCGAGTTGGAACTGGTTCCACCGCACCTGTACTACCAGACACTCGCGCTCCTGCTGCGGCCTGAGCACTGGACGAGCGAGGCGGCCATTCGTGCCGAGCTGGAGCTGGAGGCCTTCCGAGAGCATCATGTGCGCAACATCATCGCCATGATCTTCGCGAACCAGCGCCTGATTCGCATGTACCTCTCTGGGGAGCTGGACAAACACGATGACGCCCCCGTGAGCGACGGGCGCGATGCAGCAGCGGGCAACCCGGGCGACGTGCAGCTCTCCCGTCAGCAAAGGAACATCGCGGACGAGCTCGTTCTCGCCGTGCAGGATGGCATGATCCGGAAGCGTGCGGGGGAGAACGCCTGGAAGGGCGAAGGCCCTGGGTCGGACGATCCCGCCGACGCTGACTCGCAGAATCACGCCTGGGCGCCCCTGCCGGATGCCTCGCCATTCGTGCCGGCGCCGGACACCGGCCGTTGTGCCTTTGCAGTCCTGGGCCCTGCGGGCAGTGGGAAGACCACGGCCGTGCACGAGGCCATCCGACAGACCGTCGACGCCGGCGGCAGGGTCCTCCTCACTGCCCCCACTGGACGTCTGGCCGCCACGCTACGCGAGAGGTTCCCCGAACTAGAGGTCGACACCGTGCACGGCGCCTTCCTGGTGCACAAGCCTGCCCAGGAGACCTTGGAGGTGCTGTGGCCCTACGACCTGATCGTCGTCGAGGAAGTCGGCCAGCTCTCCCGCGCCATCTTCGAACGCATCGTGGAGCAGTGGCAGGCCGCGGAGCGCCTCCCGACGTTGGTCTTCGTTGGTGACTTCTACCAGCTGCCGGGCGTCGACCCCTCCAGCGCCCTCGACTCCGCGCTGTGGCACAGCGTCCTGGTCAAGAAGCGGGAGCTCCACGCCATGTTGCGATGCAAGTGCCCCGAGCTGCGCAAGAAGCTGGAGCTTCTCCGCGTGGGCAAGCCGACCGTCGAGCAGCTGAAGAAGATCAAGGCTGGCCACAAGGCCCCGGCGAGGCACCGGGCGGGCTACGTCATGAACGCGGAGCCGTCCCAGGAGGACGTGACTCACATCCTGGCGGAGACCCCGCGGACGCTCTTCCTTACCATCAGTCGCCGCGCCTGCGCCCAGCTCAACGACATGGCCGTCGCCGCCCTCTTCTCCGACGCGGCGCCCCTGGCGGTCGTTCCCGGCGACCCGGAGAGCAATGTCGACAACTACCAGGATGGCAAGATGGTGGCGCAGGACCCGGTTGAGGTGCCCATCTACCGCGGGGCGCGTGTCATCCTCACCAAGAACTTGAACAAGTCGGTGGGCTTCGTCAACGGGATGGGTGCGGTGGTGCTCGGCATGGACGGAGGCAACGTCATCGTTAAGACCGACCAGGGCATCCGGCTCGCGGTGCACCCGTGGACCTCCGAGGAGCGCGTCGCCCACTTCCCCTTGCGCCTCGGCTACGCCAGCACGCTCCACAAGGTGCAGGGCGCCACCCTCCCCCACATCACCGTGTGGCTGGACGTGCCGAACATGCCGGCGGCCGCGTACGTGGCCCTCAGTCGGGTGGAATACGACGCGAACTGGCGCTTCGTGGGCAACCCGGGCATCCACCACTTCACGCCTGCGCACTTCCACTGAGCGGAGCATGCTCTTAGCGATCTCACTGACAGCCCCCGCAACGTGGCTCCTTGACTTGTTGTGTAGGTTTCAGCCACCGGAGTCAAAGGATTCTCTCAACTTGCGATCAAGCTTCGTGGCGGGGTGCATTTCAGAAAAGGAGGTGCCGCAGGCGGCGGCTCCAGCCGAGGGGTGCGGTTTGGGACGAGCGGGCGAAGGCCACAGGCGGCGGACGGTTTCGGCACAGGTCTGCCCCTGTAGCTTGCCTGTCCTCTGTCTCTTGTTCGATATACATTCAAGTACGCCGTCTCAGCTGTCAGAAAAAAAGAGAAAGCTTCGTCTTCTGCTGCTCGACAGGGTTGCTACTCCGCGACTCAGCTGCGGGATGCTTGCGGGCACCTCGCGTTGAGTGGCCGCATCGTCTGCATGTTCACTGTGTTGGCTCGAAGCTCCGCCGTGCTTGGCCCCCCCCCCCCGCCCACGCCCGGCAGCAAAGCTGCATCGATGGTTGAGTCTGCGTTGCAGATCACTCTTTGCGGATGCACCTTCAAGCCTTGTCGTGCTTGACAGGCCGGAAAGGCGATCCATGTTCATGTTCTGCAATCTTTTGTCCCTGCAATTTCAAAAGCCCCACACGAGTTGTCTTGAAGCAATTGAAAGATTCTTGGAAGAGGCCGCTTCGGCATGTTCCTCGGGGGCATGTCTGCCATTTGCGACTGAGCTCCTTTGTCTGCACAGATATTTCAATCGTTTTTCGAGGGGAGCCAAAAACCTTCCCCCTACCCCCTGGAACCTCCTCCTCTCAACCCCTGCCCTTCCCGGCCTTCCGAAGATCGATCAATATCTGACCCGGGAAAGGCAACAAGCGGGAGCATCAACTCTACGACCTCACCAAAAGCTCTATGAACGGGGAGTGAAGCGTGCCACTCATGGCCCCGGAAAGTTTGAAGCAATGGTGGTGCCCTTGCCCTGACCCCGGCCGCTCCTCTGCTGGCCCTGGCCGCCCCGGCCCCATGAGCTGGCTTCTCCCTCCCACCCCGCTGCCTTCACCGCCGAGCAAACAAGAAAACTGTGAAAGCTCACAGCGGGTGGGGAGAAAGAGCCCAGCACCAATGAAATTGTTGGATTACATTGAAAACAAATGCCTTCGCGTGACATGCCGCCCCCCCACACCCCTGGGTGTGTAGGGGCGCCATTTACACATGGTATTTACTGCCGCTGCGCGGCGAGACGCCCTAAACCCTAAACCCTAAACCCTAAACCCTAAACCCTAAACCCTAAACCCTAAACCCTAAACCCTAAACCCTAAACCCTAAACCCTAAACCCTAAACCCTAAACCCTAAACCCTAAACACTAAACCCTAAACCCTAAACCCTAAACAAACCCTAAACCCTAAACCCTAAACCCTAAACCCTAAACCCTAAACCCTAAACCCTTAAACCCTAAACCCTACCCTAAAAACCCTAAACCCTAAACCTCCCAACCCTAAACCCTAACCCTAAACCCTAAAACCTAACCCTAAACCTAAACCCTAAAACCCTAAACCCTAAACCCTAACCTCTAACCCGACCCTAAACCTAAACCCTAAACCCTAACCATAAACTAAACCCTCCCCCCTAAACCCTAAACCCTAAACCCTAAACCCTAAACCCTAAACCCAAAACCCTAAACCCTAAACCCTAACCCCTAAACCTAAACCCTAAACCCTAAACCCTAAACCCTAAACCCTAAACCCTAAACCCTAAACCCTAAACCCTAAACCCTCAAGGCCAGGATAAATAGAAATTGTAAGTGTTTCATTACGAGCAGCTCGTGCAATAATCCTTCATCCTTCACAGCGCGAAAATATTAGCCAAACCCTTCAGCCAGCCCCCTCTCAGCCCACTTGCCCCTCCAGCCCCTCCAGCCCCTCCAGCCCCTCCAGCCCCTCCAGCCCCTCCAGCCCCTCCAGCCCCTCCAGCCCCTCCAGCCCCTCCAGCCCCTCCAGCCCCTCCAGCCCCTCCCCCAGCCCCAGCCCCACAACCCCAAAGTCAAAATGACAAAAGCAAAAAGCAAAACCCGGCAAAACCCCCCAAAACCCGACAAAACCCGACAAAACCCCCCAAAACCCCCCAAAACCCCCCAAAACTCCGGACACAAACCCTATACAATTTCTATAAACCCTAAACCCTAAACCCTAAACCCTAAA